TGGGCATTTCACTGTGCTGCCGGGGGGTGGGAGGGGCTGTCAAGGTCCCCACCAAAACTTAGACCGAACCTACGCCCTTGCATGGAACAGTGATGAACCTGAGTTCATCTGCTGAACTTTCTGCAAAAGTGCCACAGAAAGTCATCCAGGAATTGCTGTGGCAATCTGAAGCTCTGCAGGCATCTCCTGCTTCAGCTAAGGTCAGTCTTAATAAGAAACAGATACTGGGCAAAAATGGTGTGGGAGAGTTTCGAGCAGAATACCAGAGTGGATCACTTTCCATAACGGACTCGTTCATTTTGCTCTCGCTGGAGAAGAAAATCCGGAAATAATATGTCCGACTGTCAATTTGTGATCTTGCACTCAAGCACAATTGAATTAGACACTTGGACAATGATTCACAGTACGCCAGCAAGTGTACATCCGAGGGGCTTAAAACCCATAAAATGAAGGTTTGGGAGTGGTCTAGTCAAAGTTTGGAATCCTTCAGAGTTACCGAATAAGCTGCGTCCCAGTTGAATGCCAGTGTTTGATGGACAAATGTGTTTTAGTGGATAGAGAAGGATTTTAGAGAATGATGTACAAGCCTGAGCTCCCTGTCCATGAGACTACCATAGAAAACCAGGGTATCTAAAGTCAGAGGCTTCTTCAAGTTTCCTGTAGCACAGACTGCTAGAGGAGATCTTTCCTGCCCACAGCCGTCACTATCTACAATAACTCTTTGAAGAATCTTGAATAAATACGGATTATAGCAGCATTTAATTTCCCTTTGGGATCAATACAATATTTTTTGAATTGAATTAAACTGAAATAAATTTCCAAGACATGTCGGCTGTGTTCTTCTGTCTTTGTGAATCTGTTTGTTCACTAATGTTCCCTAATATACCTCTGAGGTCTTCACAGATTTATACTGGGATTCAGTTGCACACAGATGGACTCTATTTATTACAGGTGAATTCTGAAGGCAGTTAGTTGGACTAGATTTTATTTTGACTTTTCAGAGTAAAGAGGGTAAAAATGCGACATTGCGATCCACTGAGGTTTATGGTGAAACCTTAAAATGTGCAAACCTTCGAGGGAGGTATCAACGATTTAACAATCATATAAGTGCATCCCAAATGTTTTAATTCCTCCTGTTGTCACTTAAATCTAAGAGCTGAGTGGTTTGCATTCATGCTAATTCTGTTTATTTGAGCATCATTAAAGCTGAAGGATGTAACTTTTACATAACATTTTTTTTCCAGATATTTGTTGAAACTGTCACAAGGCTCCTCCGCCTTCTCCCAGTGCTAAGTAGAAACAACCAATCAGACCCTTTAAGTCTTCTTGTGCGGCAACGCTCACCCTTCAGAACAAGCTATGCAGCTAGCATAGCCTGTTGTGTGTGCTAGTTAGCATGGCCACTGATTACAGCAAATAAAAGGTTTTCCTGGAATAGAAAGTCGTTTCTCCGCCATTAGCCCATTTAGCAGCAAGTACATGAGGTGATTGACAGCGCCAAGTCCCTCCTCTTGGCTCTGATTGGTTGATTTTGGCCAGATGCCAATAGCAGTTCAGGGAGGAGATGAAGGATATTGATATTTTCATAGACAGTATGTCAATTGACAAACTCACATTTGGTGACAGTTTTAACAAAAATGTAAAAAAATAAAATTAAATTAAAAAAATATTCTGTATTAAAGTTACAACCTGCAGCTTTAACTGTGTAATAAACAATTAGACTTAATTACTAACCAATTTTTTAAAATACATATTTATTCAGCTAAAACAGGCTAAATAACACAGAGGTGGTTCGGTTCGATGCGCTGAAAGGTAAAAAGTGGGACACCACTGTCCCCTGCAGACTGAAACTCGACGGCTGCCGCCGACACGCTGGGACAGGTTTCCGGACACTCCCGAGCACTCACGAAGACAACCTCTCCTCTTGTTCCTTTCCTCCGTCCCTCCTCCTCCTCCTCTTCACGCCTAATGTTGCTGTACCTCTAACCCTCCCCCCGTATCAGAGGAGTAGAAACAACAAGCCGCCATTTTGTTTGGCGGACAGACCGTCAGAAACAGGAGATCACCGATAGAAAAAGGAGCGACCCCGGCCGCCGACGGCAGCCGCTCCGGGAACCGCAAGGGGGGAAGAGACACAGTAACCAAATCCTGTCCGAGCCGTCCGGTGGAAGGGGAAGCGGCAAGGAAGGAGGCTAGACTTCAGTGGAGGGAAAGCCGCCTAGGTGTCATGTAGCTATATATATTTATATATATAAATATATTGATGCATGCATGAGAAGGAAATACTCCGAAAATCTCAAGGAAGGGGGTGTTTTGCGGAGCGGCGACGGGGAGGAGAGGCGGAAGAGGGCTGCACATAACGAGGAAAAAAACCTGCGATAAGAGGAAAATACCACCATGAAAAATCATTATGTGTCCGCGGCGGAGGAAGGAACGAGTCCGCATAGACAATTATATAAATAAATTGCTGCCGGGCAGAAGGGAGAGGTGGAAAGAAAGACGGGTTTAAAGAGAAGAGAAGGGGGTGAAATTGCCAGGACCAACACGAAGGGGGGGCTTTCACCATCACAAAGAGTCAATGAGAGGATTTTTTTAGGAGGATTTTTTCCAATTATTGTGCCGATCTGAAGCATTCCGCTTCCGAAATAGCCATACTATTTTTTTTCTTATAAGTCACATTTCGCCTCAGCTCCGCTACTGCTACTGCTTCTTTTTCTTTTCTTTTCTTTTTTTTACTCCCCAGTCCATGCATTGCAAAAAGAAAAAGAAAAAAAGAAACCTTTTTAAAAGCACTGAAAAAGAAAGTGGCAATATCGATAGCATTTTCCTTCATCTGAGATCCCGGTCGTGTTTGAAACAAGCAGGAACTAGAGGAGGAACCTCTGCAGGGAGCACAAGATAAGTAACCCGTTTGATCCTCGTCTGCAAAAAAAAGAAAAAGAGCTAGAGAGAAAAATCAAACTTAATTAGATCAATCCAACTGCCCTGCTGATTGGCAATTAGTGCTGTTATTGCATTCGAGACGAAGATTCCAAAAAAAAGCTGCATTGAAAGTGGCAGAAATCCGTATTTTAAAGGTCTGTTTTGCAACCGATAACTGACGAATGGGGTTGCATCAACCAAATTTGCAATCTCAGTCTGTTCTTCAGTGCCTTTTGTATGGTTCAACACTAAGTGCACATACAAGTCAGCATGCACATGCAAAAAAAGAGAAAAAAGTCACGCATGGGAATATAGGTTTACATGCTTTTTGGACTTTTTATTTTTTTTTTCATCTGAGTGGATGGATCTGTCTTCAAACCGTGTTAAATCACTGACGAGCCAATTGAGCATCGCCAACACTTGCATTCAAACTACTGCTTGTTGCCTTTTTGCCGTGGAAAATTAAAAGGACTCGGTGATACAGACAGCAATAAGAGGGGAGGAAAAGTAAAAATCCCTACAGGTTCTCTAAGGTGTTGCATGAAACATCAGCAATCTGAAGTTGTTTTTTTTTCCTTCTCTCTCTTTGGAAACTTGTGATTTTTGTGCCATCACGCATCATCTCCCCCTGCAGCCTTTTTTAGACCTAAAAAGAAAGAGAGAAGGTTTTTGATCAGTATACTATGGAAGACCAAGTTGAATGGAGCTCGGAGGACGGATCTTGGGACAGTTTTTATGTCATGAGGTTGTCAGTCGTCCGTCGACTCCACCTTCCCACCGCCTCTTGTTGAAGTCTGCGAAGAAACAAAAATCTCCGACAGGGGAGGGGGACTGATATCTACCAGAGAGGTACTACAAACTCAGGAGGAGGACTGAGAAAGAGTTGAACATCGCCGTCCTCTTCCCCTACCGTCCCCCCAAGCGGTGGGGGAACGATTAGAAACATTTCTTAACGGGAGTAAGAAGGCGGAAATAAAGGGAATACATAAACCCTGAGTGGATATACAGCCTCTTTTTTTTTTTTTTAATTCGTCAAAAATATGGCCGATAATGTCCTGGAGTCTGGCCCGCCTTCAGCCAAGAGGCCCAAGCTGGCTTCTCCAGCTCTGTCTGTGTCTACCAGTGATGGGAATGGTAAATATATTTGATGCTTTACTTCGGCATGAACTAGCTTAGAGATTGGTGCTTTTAAACTTGCTTGCTCCGAGTCTGGAGTTGCTGTAGAGTTGCACACTCATTTCTGCTTGCTAAGTGACGTTTCTGGGCATAAATATTGTAAAAAGTTAGGTGGGAAAAGTGTATATCTGAGTGCTATGGTTGCTTTGGTTTAAGCTTTTCTAGTCCTGAAGCAGGAGCAACTTTCCAGCACTTGTGTTTTGATGCGTTAGCCTCAACAGGCTAACTAGCCGCAACTAAAATGATCCTCCTCCAAACAATGGACGAGTCGAGACACCCCACTTCGCCTAAACTTGCTTTGCTACTTTAAAAGTTGTTAAAGTGAACACGTACGGTGGAATATGCGACAAATGTCAAGTTTCTGAGATGTTAATTTTTCATAACGGCAAATAAACGTTTGGAAACTAGCTTTTAGAGCTAGTAACTGAAACCGAGTTAGCTAGCTAACTAGCTAAAAAGACACCCCCACCGGAGCAACTCAGCTGAGCTCCGTGATGGGGAAATAGCTCATTAGTTTAAACATTTTTATCATTACTTTTGTAATTAAATTAGACACCGAACATATGATGGATGTAAACATTTTGTTTTATTTCGAAAAACGTGTATAAATGACGAGAAGGTTAATGTTTTTAACACAACTATTGTCAAGCTAGCTATTGTTCAATACTTGATTAAGTTGGGCGAAGCGGTGTTGACCAGCTGAAGTTGTAGCGCTGCCCATGTAAACACTTTGACTCAGTTGAACAAGAGAATCTAAATCAGATGTATTCCTTCAAGCGTGTTCTTTGAAATATCTCAGATTTTATTCACTGGCTTTTAATGAATTCATCCAAATATGCTGTAGCGGAGCTAATTATTCATCCTCCATTGTCTGCAAGGTAGTACTGCTTCACTTTTGTAACAATAAATCGTAGCCAACTGTTCCAACTGAACGTATTTCACCCTGAAATAACAATTAAAGCAATTGAATTTATTACTAAAAGCGCCATAACATAATTTCTCATTGTTACACCTTTTCCAACCCAGAATTTCAAACTTGATTCTTAATTTCTTGCTTCCACTTTTATCCTATTTATTCTTTATTTTCTGTTAATGTCTTTCTTCTCCAATCATACAACTTTGCCTGCGTTTCCATGCTCTCGAACCTTAGAACTGCTCCACAATTTCACAGAACCACCTGGGTACTGTAGTGTTTACCTTTTGCGGTTTCTCACCTTGTCCCCACTGCGTTTGCTCTCCACGTATGGCAACCCACCAAACCACAAGCTGATGCCTGGAAGAAAAATTTGGGACGGGAGAGGCTCATAACGTCTGCATACAGTGCCTCACAAATGTTTTCATCTGCGTTGAACTTCACATTCTCTCATGCAACGAGGATAAACTCCAATGCATTTATTGGGATCTTACGTCATATGAAGACCTGAGCAGGTCTTCATATGCCAGATAATGTTAATGAAGAGTTGTGCATTTAGGAGAAGAGCAGAGTTAGTTTATAAGAGAAACCATTGAACGGTTTGAAGACTTTGGCACGACTACAAATCTACTAAGACATTGATCATTACAGGACAGTGTTCCAGAAACCTGTAGTGACTCTGAACGAGACGCAGACTTCCACAGACAAAATGTCTGCATTCTACAAATCTGGCTATTTTGGACGAGCGGTAGGAAGACGGCAATTGTTTAAAGAAAACCATAATTCCAGATTAGACCAAACATCTTTGTCCACCAACTAAATATTACATGGAGACGTACATGACCAATTTGGAAGTAAAAATTTCAGAGGCCGAGTCAGGACCTAAACGGGCTGACCTTTCAGCAGGACAGTGAGCCTAAATATACAGCCAGGGTTGTTATTATTATGAAATTGTTTGGATTAAATAATTTTAATTAGTCAGGATTGATTAGTCTAAGATGAGGTGTTTAATAATATTATTCACAGCTGTTCTTTGTCCAGTCTGATGGAATTTGAGGTGTTTTGCAAAGAAGAGTGGTCGGATTTTTCTGTCACCTGGTGTGAAAGGTCGGCAGGCTTACGGCTTTAACTGTTGCCAAATGTGGTTCTACAAAATATGGTCTCAGGAGTACTGAATACAAATTCACTTGAATTTGTTTCCTTTTCCGTCATAGTAAGGCTCAGCGACATAGCTCAAAAATATATATATTTAAATATAATAATCCATCCATGCAGACAGACCCAGGGCCGGTAATCAAACCCAGAACCTTCTTGCTGCAAGGCAAAAGCTCTACCAACTGCACCACTGTGCAGCCTTAAGCATAATAATAATATATATATTAAATAAAATGACTTTTATCTGAGTCATTCCGTCTTTAAGTTGACCAAAATTCAAAGTGGGGGGGAAAAAATTAGCTGTAAAATGTGCTATAAAACACGTCAAACAAGACAGTAGCTCTGGAATAACATCACTATGAACTATGAAAACCTAAGGAATGTATTAGTAAAAAAAGAAAAATCCCAAAAATTTTTCAAAAATGAAATCTTCAAAACCAAAAAATTCTGTTAATTGGAAAAAGTATGTTTGATTGTAAAATCCTGATTAAAACACATTGCAACTTGTGATTGTAACATGACAATGCGTAAAAAGTACAAGGAGGCTAAATATCTTTGCAAGGCACTAACTTTTTAAGTTATGTGGCGCCACACAAGGCTTGAGTGTTTAAAAAACAATGAACCATTTTCTTGATTGATTTCTTTTTTTTACCTAGACTTTGGTTCATTCTTTGACCTGGAGCATGACCTGCCGGACGAGCTCATCAGTTCCTCGGACCCGGGGCTGACGAACGGAGGAGACTCCGGCCAGTTCCACACCAGCCTCGGGGGCCTCGGAGGAGGGGTTCAGGATGCGGCCTCCAAACACAAACAGCTGTCGGAACTGCTGCGCGCTGGGGCGCCGACGCAGCCGGGCGCCCCCGCTTCCAACAGTGCCCCCTCCGCGGCTTCCATGGGGATGATGGGGGGAGTCGGTGGACCTCAAGGCATGCACCATCAGGGCCAACAGCAGCAGCAGCCGCAACCTGGACTAATGCAGCAGGTTGGCATGGTGCCGAACAGGGCGACGGCCATGATGGGTGTCCAGAAGGGCACCGCTGGACAGCAGCAGCACCCACACCAAGGGCTTATAGGGGGGCAGGTTGTGAATGGCTCGCCCAGAATGGGTTACCCTGGCAACACGGGAATGGGTAGCAATAGTAATATTTTGGCAGAGACCTTACAGCAGCAGCAGCAGCAGCAGCAGGGCGGTCCAACCCTGGGAGCTGGGGGTCAAGCGGGGATGAGACCACATCAGCCCGGTGCACTGAAGCAGGTAGGTACCAAACCAGACTTTAGGAATTTAGGTGGAAGTTAATTTTATATGCATATTTAGTTCACCGTTTGATGTATTTGACTTGATCGCAATGGTGCCCCTAAAAATTTATCTTTTTTTTTTATATAAAACTTTTTTTTAAAATATAATGTATAAATATTTATATACATTGCTTTTATTTTTATGTATTGATTGAAGAAAATGACTGTATGACCTGGACATGATTCTCTGGAGGAGGGGTCGGGGGGCATCATTTTTCGGTCGGGGCCACGGCCCTCCGTTGGGCTCCCCTTACGGGCGCCTCTGCTTTTATTGCCTTAATATGACAACTAAACATGCTCTTAATTTTAGAAATATAAAAAGCTCATAAAATGCTTGTGGCTTGTGTTAAGGTTTGAAGCGATTGACTTCGTGTATGTTTGCAGTTAAAAAAGGCAGTGATGTTTTTGTTAGCACAGTTAAATGGGTAGGTAAGAAGCTGTAGTTTGCGCTCAAACTCTGAGGATGAGTTTTTCTACAGCAGGTGCAGGGAAGAGTGCGGTCATGTGTCGGGACTCGCAGCTGCTGCACAGTTAGCTCTGTGGTATCGATGGTTAACCTCCCTGCTAGTCAGAACACCACATTACAGTTGTGATTTTTCTCCCAAGCAAGTACAGAAGCATCTCCGTTAACCGTAAGTGGCAGGATGGAGCCGTTTTCCTGCATCTAGCTGTGAATAAGTCTGAAATTTGTTTTGCTTTTCTCAGCTTCCCCCCCCTCTCCCCCCAGACGTATTTGGGATTTTCAAAAAGCAAAGCGTACGGAGAAACCATCACTCGTCCTCTTTTCCCTCATGCTGTGTTCTGTGTTTTTCCTCCATCCTTCTCCAGATGAATTTGATGGCCAACGCGGGGTCCTACGGTGGCCCATACAGCCATTCTGCTGGCCAGGGGCTGCCTGGAGAGGGGCTGGGCCCACAACTCCAGAATAAAGCAGGCCTGCCCAGCGCTATGGCCGCCCAGTTCAACATGGACAAAAAGACACCTCCTGGTCAAGGCATTCCGGGGATGGTAGGATTTGTTTTACTTGTGTTCTCTCACAGATATCGCTTTCTACTTACTGGCTGGTTAGAGCTTTGAGCCTTATGTTAGTGACGTGATATCGGACGCAACAGTCGGCACACTGTTGGTTTTAAAAAGGAAGCAGAGAGAGATCAGAAACAACAAAACAGTTCACATTTGTGTCAGTGAGTGAATGAAATCAGTAGTTCTGCAATCAACAATTATTTTAGTTATCTATATTTAGTAATCTATTAATTATTCTGATAATTAATTATATGTTTCAGAAATTAGAAATGCATAAATAGATGGAAATAATTTGGTTCCTTTTGTAAATGATTAAGTGAACTATTTTTTTTTGTTAAAAATGCAGGAAACCTTTTTTTTTCTTTGCAGTTTTGTGTTTAGTACTGCTCTGAGTATGTTCTTTTAGCCAAGTGGCTTTTTTGAGTCTATAAACTCCAGTTACTGATTAATTATTAAATTAAGTAATGATTAATTATTCGATTTATCATTATTTAATCCGATTAATAATTACAGCCCTAGAAATCAGCAACTTTCACTTTTATCAGCTCTCACCAGTGTTGGTTGGGTCACAATATCATTTTTTTTTTTTTTTTTTTTTTTTTGTGAAATGAGTCAAAAACTAATAAAACCGCTGCAGAAAGCGTTTTCTTGAGCTGATTAACTTTATGCTCACAAACAACAGCTATAATTTTCCGCCTTGTTTAAGGAGTCAAAGCATAAATTGTGCTGTCCTCTCTTTTTGGGTTTGTTTTGTTTTGAGACAAAAAGGGGTTTCCAACAGCGACCGATGCAGATACTCCTTACTTTAGATTCAATTAACTTGTTAGCAGTGTTTACCGTTGCTGCATCTCTTAAAGTCACATGACTATAATCCACGTCCTGTTTGGAGTAAACATAGAGGAGAACGGCAGCATATCCAACTATAAACGTTAGCACTTAAGGCAGATTGTTCCCAACAGCACATAAAGTTAAAACAAGATAATCTATTTATTGGTTTGCTTCCCTTGCTTTGGCGATGCATTCATTGACGAATATTAACAGCTCATTACTAGCTTTTTTCATTCATTTACCTAAATTTTTAAAATTCTGGCAAAAAAAAAAAGCAAAAGTACATAAGAATTGGTGGGCTCTCCACTTGTGAGATGTATTAAATTTAGCGCAAATCTTAAGATTTACGAGAACAGAAAAAGAAACGGAGTTTCCCTTTTTTTGTTTCTACTAATTACTCAAAACCAGCCAAAATGACAGGATTATATTTTTTGTGTTATTAGACTCAGTCTTACAAATGTTTGTTTTGGCATAAACACTACAAGATTTCTGAAGTATGTTTAAATTAACTCAAGTTTAATTGAGTTTTTCCCACCAATTACAACCTCTATTTCAATAATCTTGGTGTCAAAATAAAGCTAACACTTTGTGTCACAGCAGCTGCTATAGGTTCAGAGAAAATGAGGATGGAGCATTACATAATTAGGATTCACATATTAACCATTTAGAACCATCATAAATAAGGCTACGGGATTTTGGATTGATGTAGCGGAGGCAATCTAAAGAAAATTTATGGAGGTTTTTACAAAAAAAAAAAACTGGGGATTTCGGGTTTTTAAGTATTTTTACATGCATAAAATTGCTCGTTTTTCATTTATTTTTTGAAATGCCCACATTCATTTTTATCCACTTATAAGAAGAAATTGTTTTATTTGACTCCAACTAAAATTTTATTTTATTTTTTTTTAAATCCAGTGTCTTTCAAAAGTAGAAAAAAACATTACATTAAATTTAGGCTCATTAGACTTAAAAAAGAATACCACCAAAATATCCTCTTTTTTTTTTTTCGGGCACTACCGGAGCTCCGTACAATGTCTTTTCGATGTAGGCTCCTGGTCACTGACGTCTGTCTTGCCACAGCCCTTGTGCATGAACAAAAATGCTTCCTGTTCAACTCAAATGTTTGTTGTTTTTTTTTTACCAGCTTTCAGCCAATTGTCTGATGTTTCTATGGATACCAAATAAGTCTATGCTTGGTAATGAGGATAGGGCGGAAAAAGCTAAAATCTGCCCCTGGTATTGGTGGCGTGAGACTCGACAAGGAACAGACCTCCCTGTTTAAGACTCGTCTGTTTCTCTATCGTAGACTGCTCAGCAGCAGCAGCAGCAGTCTGGGGCAGTTGGTGGCGTGGCGGCATCGGTCGGTGGGGCCCAGGTTGGACTGAACGCCGTCGGGGTGGGACCGGGCGCCACGCCCCCCACCGCTGACCCCGAGAAGCGGAAGCTCATCCAGCAGCAGCTCGTCCTGTTGCTCCACGCGCACAAGTGCCAGCGGCGGGAGCAGGCCAACGGGGAGGTGCGGCAATGCAACCTGCCCCACTGCCGCACCATGAAGAACGTGCTCAACCACATGACTCATTGCCAGGCTGGCAAGTCCTGCCAGGGTGAGTCGGATAAATGACATCAACTCCTATACGTTGTGTTGTTTTTTTTGTTTTGTTTTAGTGGACACCGCAACATAAGCACCAGGTCTGCTTTCACTGTTTTCTCTCACTTCCTGGTCTGTTCCTGGTTTTCCCCCCTCGTATCTAGGTTGAGTTATTCGCTCCTCGGCTGGCGGTTCCTCCATCGGTTGTCTTTTTCTCCCGCTCTCTCCGAGCCTCCATCTGGACGTAGTTTTATAGCATCGAATGACTCACATAAGATCTTTCTTAGCCTTCTGTCTTCGTTTTGACTCATTTTTTCCCATTTTGCCTCGTTTTCTTGTCAAGTCACTGCTTTCAGTCTCACTCTGTCACATTTTTACTCATGTGCTCGGCTCTCTCTCCTTTATTTTTCACACTTCAACTCGTTTCGCCTAAACATCTGTTTTGGTCTCGTCCCTCAGTTGCACACTGTGCCTCGTCCAGACAGATCATCTCGCATTGGAAGAACTGCACGAGACACGACTGTCCCGTGTGCCTGCCGCTGAAAAACGCCGGAGACAAGAGGAACCAGCAGTGTGAGTGTTTCTCTTCTCACTCTGCTGGCTGCCATCGAGTAATGATTAACCAAGTTTAAAATCACAAATATTAATCCCCCCCCCCTCCTCTCTCCTGTCGCTGCAGCTCTGCTCAACAGTGTCAGCTTAGTGAACTCTTTAGGCGGCGCGGGGCCAGGCGGGCAGTCGAGCGCTCCGAGCCTGAACCCTACCAACCAGATCGACCCGAGCTCCATAGAGAGAGCCTACGCTGCATTAGGCCTGACGTACCAGGGCAACCAGATGCCGCAGCAGCAACAGCAGCAGCAGCAGCAACAGCAGCAGCAGCAGCCGCCACAGGCCGCCATGCCGAACCAAGTCCTTCACGGACAGCCGGGAATGAGGACTCTGAATCCACTGGGTCGGTTCTGTTTCTGATTCTCACAGCATTTAGATCAGGGGTGTCCGAAACCCTTTTTGCCCCATTTAGGCTACTGGTGGGGCCACAAAATTCATTAAATGTAAAAATACAAAAATTAGATGACAAAGTTGAAATAATGGGAGAATAAAGTCTTAATATTTTGAGAATAGCCATAAAATTGCAAAAATAAAGTTACGATGTTACAAAATTTTGAGTTTAAAGTCAAAATAATACGAGAAAGTCATAATATTCGGACTTTTTTCTGCTCATTTTATTTATTTTATTTTCTAACTTGTTTTCCAAATTTTTACCATTCTTGACTTGTGGTACGGAGTGAACAGAATCATTTCTAGGGCCATAAAATGGTAGACAGTTGGCTTTTTTTAACGCCCATCTTGAAAAAGTGAAATTTTTTTTTTTGCCTATTTATTTATTTTTTTGTTTGTACATTTCTATCACAATACAGGTCTTAGATTTCATCCACAGTGGTCTTAAAAAGTCTTAAGTTTGAGTCGGTGAAACGTGCCGAAGCCGCGGATGCAGTAGAGACGTCTTGGTTAGACTAGCAGCTCCAACTGCAGCAAAAGGCTTGTTCTGCAAAGCATTGACTCGGCGGTGGCTGGAGTCGAACGCATCGATCTCACCCCGGTTATTATTCATGAACTACGTTGCATAAGAATCCAATAAAACTGACCTAATAAACTGTTCTTTGCCTTTTACGACCAGGTGGTACCTCCATAGGAGTGAACGGTGCCGTCGGGGTGCAGACTCCGAACCAGCAGTCTGCGCTGCTGCCGGACGCCATGCTGCACAGCATGAACGCGCAAAGGCAAGAGCGGCTGCGGCTTTCCGTCTTCGCACCGACGCGGTTCACCGTTCTTGACAAATTTTTAAAGTCGACGGAGGCTGAAATGTTGAGCTGTTGTCTGGTTCTCTCCCAACCGCAGCTTGATGAACGACGGCGTCGGGAGCCTGGGCTCCATGCCCACGGCCACGCCCCCTTCGGCCGCAGGGATGAGGAAGTCTTGGCATGAAGACATCACGCAAGACCTCCGCAACCACCTCGTCCACAAGCTGTGAGTTGGCTCTGTCCTTCAGCTTAGCACCTGGAACCTGATCACATCGTCCGCGTAGAGAAGTTCCACTTTCTCAAACGTGTTTCCATGCGAACAGAGTGCAAGCCATCTTCCCCACTCCTGACCCCGCGGCGCTGAAGGACAGGCGGATGGAGAACTTGGTGGCCTACGCCCGGAAAGTAGAGGGAGACATGTACGAGTCGGCGAACAGCAGGGTAGGCATCCCTCGCGCAGAGGGTGAAGAAAATGCGCCGCGAGCGCGGGGTGTTTGCTGTCGGTGTTGCGTAATTCCCTCCCACCCTCCTGCTGTGCTGCGTCCAGGCGGAGTACTACCACCTTCTGGCAGAGAAGATCTACAAGATCCAGAAGGAGCTGGAGGAGAAGAGGAGGACGCGGCTCCAAAAGCAGGGCATGATGCCCGGCCAGCCCTGCCTTCCCACGTCTGGCCTCCCACAGGGTCCGCCTGGCATGGTCCAGCCCCCGGGGCCCCCAGGGCCGCCCGGACAGCCTCCCAGTAAGTAAACGATTTATTGGACAGACTTGTTGGGGGGAAAAAATGAGTAAAAACCTTGAAATAATTTCACACAGAAAAAAACAAAAATCTACTTTTTATGAGAGAAATTTTATTTAATGTGGGGGAAAATGTTGAGGTTCGAGGTGGGTGATTTGGACTTAAAGTTTTATGACGATATATTGTGGNTAATATATATATTAAATAAAATGACTTTTATCTGAGTCATTCCGTCTTTAAGTTGACCAAAATTCAAAGTGGGGGGGAAAAAATTAGCTGTAAAATGTGCTATAAAACACGTCAAACAAGACAGTAGCTCTGGAATAACATCACTATGAACTATGAAAACCTAAGGAATGTATTAGTAAAAAAAAAAAAATCCCAAAAATTTTTCAAAAATGAAATCTTCAAAACCAAAAAATTCTGTTAATTGGAAAAAGTATGTTTGATTGTAAAATCCTGATTAAAACACATTGCAACTTGTGATTGTAACATGACAATGCGTAAAAAGTACAAGGAGGCTAAATATCTTTGCAAGGCACTAACTTTTTAAGTTATGTGGCGCCACACAAGGCTTGAGTGTTTAAAAAACAATGAACCATTTTCTTGATTGATTTCTTTTTTTTACCTAGACTTTGGTTCATTCTTTGACCTGGAGCATGACCTGCCGGACGAGCTCATCAGTTCCTCGGACCCGGGGCTGACGAACGGAGGAGACTCCGGCCAGTTCCACACCAGCCTCGGGGGCCTCGGAGGAGGGGTTCAGGATGCGGCCTCCAAACACAAACAGCTGTCGGAACTGCTGCGCGCTGGGGCGCCGACGCAGCCGGGCGCCCCCGCTTCCAACAGTGCCCCCTCCGCGGCTTCCATGGGGATGATGGGGGGAGTCGGTGGACCTCAAGGCATGCACCATCAGGGCCAACAGCAGCAGCAGCCGCAACCTGGACTAATGCAGCAGGTTGGCATGGTGCCGAACAGGGCGACGGCCATGATGGGTGTCCAGAAGGGCACCGCTGGACAGCAGCAGCACCCACACCAAGGGCTTATAGGGGGGCAGGTTGTGAATGGCTCGCCCAGAATGGGTTACCCTGGCAACACGGGAATGGGTAGCAATAGTAATATTTTGGCAGAGACCTTACAGCAGCAGCAGCAGCAGCAGCAGGGCGGTCCAACCCTGGGAGCTGGGGGTCAAGCGGGGATGAGACCACATCAGCCCGGTGCACTGAAGCAGGTAGGTACCAAACCAGACTTTAGGAATTTAGGTGGAAGTTAATTTTATATGCATATTTAGTTCACCGTTTGATGTATTTGACTTGATCGCAATGGTGCCCCTAAAAATTTATCTTTTTTTTTTTATATAAAACTTTTTTTTAAAATATAATGTATAAATATTTATATACATTGCTTTTATTTTTATGTATTGATTGAAGAAAATGACTGTATGACCTGGACATGATTCTCTGGAGGAGGGGTCGGGGGGCATCATTTTTCGGTCGGGGCCACGGCCCTCCGTTGGGCTCCCCTTACGGGCGCCTCTGCTTTTATTGCCTTAATATGACAACTAAACATGCTCTTAATTTTAGAAATATAAAAAGCTCATAAAATGCTTGTGGCTTGTGTTAAGGTTTGAAGCGATTGACTTCGTGTATGTTTGCAGTTAAAAAAGGCAGTGATGTTTTTGTTAGCACAGTTAAATGGGTAGGTAAGAAGCTGTAGTTTGCGCTCAAACTCTGAGGATGAGTTTTTCTACAGCAGGTGCAGGGAAGAGTGCGGTCATGTGTCGGGACTCGCAGCTGCTGCACAGTTAGCTCTGTGGTATCGATGGTTAACCTCCCTGCTAGTCAGAACACCACATTACAGTTGTGATTTTTCTCCCAAGCAAGTACAGAAGCATCTCCGTTAACCGTAAGTGGCAGGATGGAGCCGTTTTCCTGCATCTAGCTGTGAATAAGTCTGAAATTTGTTTTGCTTTTCTCAGCTTCCCCCCCCTCTCCCCCCAGACGTATTTGGGATTTTCAAAAAGCAAAGCGTACGGAGAAACCATCACTCGTCCTCTTTTCCCTCATGCTGTGTTCTGTGTTTTTCCTCCATCCTTCTCCAGATGAATTTGATGGCCAACGCGGGGTCCTACGGTGGCCCATACAGCCATTCTGCTGGCCAGGGGCTGCCTGGAGAGGGGCTGGGCCCACAACTCCAGAATAAAGCAGGCCTGCCCAGCGCTATGGCCGCCCAGTTCAACATGGACAAAAAGACACCTCCTGGTCAAGGCATTCCGGGGATGGTAGGATTTGTTTTACTTGTGTTCTCTCACAGATATCGCTTTCTACTTACTGGCTGGTTAGAGCTTTGAGCCTTATGTTAGTGACGTGATATCGGACGCAACAGTCGGCACACTGTTGGTTTTAAAAAGGAAGCAGAGAGAGATCAGAAACAACAAAACAGTTCACATTTGTGTCAGTGAGTGAATGAAATCAGTAGTTCTGCAATCAACAATTATTTTAGTTATCTATATTTAGTAATCTATTAATTATTCTGATAATTAATTATATGTTTCAGAAATTAGAAATGCATAAATAGATGGAAATAATTTGGTTCCTTTTGTAAATGATTAAGTGAACTATTTTTTTTTGTTAAAAATGCAGGAAACCTTTTTTTTTCTTTGCAGTTTTGTGTTTAGTACTGCTCTGAGTATGTTCTTTTAGCCAAGTGGCTTTTTTGAGTCTATAAACTCCAGTTACTGATTAATTATTAAATTAAGTAATGATTAATTATTCGATTTATCATTATTTAATCCGATTAATAATTACAGCCCTAGAAATCAGCAACTTTCACTTTTATCAGCTCTCACCAGTGTTGGTTGGGTCACAATATCATTTTTTTTTTTTTTTTTTTTTTTTTGTGAAATGAGTCAAAAACTAATAAAACCGCTGCAGAAAGCGTTTTCTTGAGCTGATTAACTTTATGCTCACAAACAACAGCTATAATTTTCCGCCTTGTTTAAGGAGTCAAAGCATAAATTGTGCTGTCCTCTCTTTTTGGGTTTGTTTTGTTTTGAGACAAAAAGGGGTTTCCAACAGCGACCGATGCAGATACTCCTTACTTTAGATTCAATTAACTTGTTAGCAGTGTTTACCGTTGCTGCATCTCTTAAAGTCACATGACTATAATCCACGTCCTGTTTGGAGTAAACATAGAGGAGAACGGCAGCATATCCAACTATAAACGTTAGCACTTAAGGCAGATTGTTCCCAACAGCACATAAAGTTAAAACAAGATAATCTATTTATTGGTTTGCTTCCCTTGCTTTGGCGATGCATTCATTGACGAATATTAACAGCTCATTACTAGCTTTTTTCATTCATTTACCTAAATTTTTAAAATTCTGGCAAAAAAAAAAAGCAAAAGTACATAAGAATTGGTGGGCTCTCCACTTGTGAGATGTATTAAATTTAGCGCAAATCTTAAGATTTACGAGAACAGAAAAAGAAACGGAGTTTCCCTTTTTTTGTTTCTACTAATTACTCAAAACCAGCCAAAATGACAGGATTATATTTTTTGTGTTATTAGACTCAGTCTTACAAATGTTTGTTTTGGCATAAACACTACAAGATTTCTGAAGTATGTTTAAATTAACTCAAGTTTAATTGAGTTTTTCCCACCAATTACAACCTCTATTTCAATAATCTTGGTGTCAAAATAAAGCTAACACTTTGTGTCACAGCAGCTGCTATAGGTTCAGAGAAAATGAGGATGGAGCATTACATAATTAGGATTCACATATTAACCATTTAGAACCATCATAAATAAGGCTACGGGATTTTGGATTGATGTAGCGGAGGCAATCTAAAGAAAATTTATGGAGGTTTTTACAAAAAAAAAAAACTGGGGATTTCGGGTTTTTAAGTATTTTTACATGCATAAAATTGCTCGTTTTTCATTTATTTTTTGAAATGCCCACATTCATTTTTATCCACTTATAAGAAGAAATTGTTTTATTTGACTCCAACTAAAATTTTATTTTATTTTTTTTTAAATCCAGTGTCTTTCAAAAGTAGAAAAAAACATTACATTAAATTTAGGCTCATTAGACTTAAAAAAGAATACCACCAAAATATCCTCTTTTTTTTTTTTCGGGCACTACCGGAGCTCCGTACAATGTCTTTTCGATGTAGGCTCCTGGTCACTGACGTCTGTCTTGCCACAGCCCTTGTGCATGAACAAAAATGCTTCCTGTTCAACTCAAATGTTTGTTGTTTTTTTTTTACCAGCTTTCAGCCAATTGTCTGATGTTTCTATGGATACCAAATAAGTCTATGCTTGGTAATGAGGATAGGGCGGAAAAAGCTAAAATCTGCCCCTGGTATTGGTGGCGTGAGACTCGACAAGGAACAGACCTCCCTGTTTAAGACTCGTCTGTTTCTCTATCGTAGACTGCTCAGCAGCAGCAGCAGCAGTCTGGGGCAGTTGGTGGCGTGGCGGCATCGGTCGGTGGGGCCCAGGTTGGACTGAACGCCGTCGGGGTGGGACCGGGCGCCACGCCCCCCACCGCTGACCCCGAGAAGCGGAAGCTCATCCAGCAGCAGCTCGTCCTGTTGCTCCACGCGCACAAGTGCCAGCGGCGGGAGCAGGCCAACGGGGAGGTGCGGCAATGCAACCTGCCCCACTGCCGCACCATGAAGAACGTGCTCAACCACATGACTCATTGCCAGGCTGGCAAGTCCTGCCAGGGTGAGTCGGATAAATGACATCAACTCCTATACGTTGTGTTGTTTTTTTTGTTTTGTTTTAGTGGACACCGCAACATAAGCACCAGGTCTGCTTTCACTGTTTTCTCTCACTTCCTGGTCTGTTCCTGGTTTTCCCCCCTCGTATCTAGGTTGAGTTATTCGCTCCTCGGCTGGCGGTTCCTCCATCGGTTGTCTTTTTCTCCCGCTCTCTCCGAGCCTCCATCTGGACGTAGTTTTATAGCATCGAATGACTCACATAAGATCTTTCTTAGCCTTCTGTCTTCGTTTTGACTCATTTTTTCCCATTTTGCCTCGTTTTCTTGTCAAGTCACTGCTTTCAGTCTCACTCTGTCACATTTTTACTCATGTGCTCGGCTCTCTCTCCTTTATTTTTCACACTTCAACTCGTTTCGCCTAAACATCTGTTTTGGTCTCGTCCCTCAGTTGCACACTGTGCCTCGTCCAGACAGATCATCTCGCATTGGAAGAACTGCACGAGACACGACTGTCCCGTGTGCCTGCCGCTGAAAAACGCCGGAGACAAGAGGAACCAGCAGTGTGAGTGTTTCTCTTCTCACTCTGCTGGCTGCCATCGAGTAATGATTAACCAAGTTTAAAATCACAAATATTAATCCCCCCCCCCTCCTCTCTCCTGTCGCTGCAGCTCTGCTCAACAGTGTCAGCTTAGTGAACTCTTTAGGCGGCGCGGGGCCAGGCGGGCAGTCGAGCGCTCCGAGCCTGAACCCTACCAACCAGATCGACCCGAGCTCCATAGAGAGAGCCTACGCTGCATTAGGCCTGACGTACCAGGGCAACCAGATGCCGCAGCAGCAACAGCAGCAGCAGCAACAGCAGCAGCAGCAGCAACAGCAGCAGCAGCAGCCGCCACAGGCCGCCATGCCGAACCAAGTCCTTCACGGACAGCCGGGAATGAGGACTCTGAATCCACTGGGTCGGTTCTGTTTCTGATTCTCACAGCATTTAGATCAGGGGTGTCCGAAACCCTTTTTGCCCCATTTAGGCTACTGGTGGGGCCACAAAATTCATTAAATGTAAAAATACAAAAATTAGATGACAAAGTTGAAATAATGGGAGAATAAAGTCTTAATATTTTGAGAATAGCCATAAAATTGCAAAAATAAAGTTACGATGTTACAAAATTTTGAGTTTAAAGTCAAAATAATACGAGAAAGTCATAATATTCGGACTTTTTTCTGCTCATTTTATTTATTTTATTTTCTAACTTGTTTTCCAAATTTTTACCATTCTTGACTTGTGGTACGGAGTGAACAGAATCATTTCTAGGGCCATAAAATGGTAGACAGTTGGCTTTTTTTAACGCCCATCTTGAAAAAGTGAAATTTTTTTTTTTGCCTATTTATTTATTTTTTTGTTTGTACATTTCTATCACAATACAGGTCTTAGATTTCATCCACAGTGGTCTTAAAAAGTCTTAAGTTTGAGTCGGTGAAACGTGCCGAAGCCGCGGATGCAGTAGAGACGTCTTGGTTAGACTAGCAGCTCCAACTGCAGCAAAAGGCTTGTTCTGCAAAGCATTGACTCGGCGGTGGCTGGAGTCGAACGCATCGATCTCACCCCGGTTATTATTCATGAACTACGTTGCATAAGAATCCAATAAAACTGACCTAATAAACTGTTCTTTGCCTTTTACGACCAGGTGGTACCTCCATAGGAGTGAACGGTGCCGTCGGGGTGCAGACTCCGAACCAGCAGTCTGCGCTGCTGCCGGACGCCATGCTGCACAGCATGAACGCGCAAAGGCAAGAGCGGCTGCGGCTTTCCGTCTTCGCACCGACGCGGTTCACCGTTCTTGACAAATTTTTAAAGTCGACGGTGGCTGAAATGTTGAGCTGTTGTCTGGTTCTCTCCCAACCGCAGCTTGATGAACGACGGCGTCGGGAGCCTGGGCTCCATGCCCACGGCCACGCCCCCTTCGGCCGCAGGGATGAGGAAGTCTTGGCATGAAGACATCACGCAAGACCTCCGCAACCACCTCGTCCACAAGCTGTGAGTTGGCTCTGTCCTTCAGCTTAGCACCTGGAACCTGATCACATCGTCCGCGTAGAGAAGTTCCACTTTCTCAAACGTGTTTCCATGCGAACAGAGTGCAAGCCATCTTCCCCACTCCTGACCCCGCGGCGCTGAAGGACAGGCGGATGGAGAACTTGGTGGCCTACGCCCGGAAAGTAGAGGGAGACATGTACGAGTCGGCGAACAGCAGGGTAGGCATCCCTCGCGCAGAGGGTGAAGAAAATGCGCCGCGAGCGCGGGGTGTTTGCTGTCGGTGTTGCGTAATTCCCTCCCACCCTCCTGCTGTGCTGCGTCCAGGCGGAGTACTACCACCTTCTGGCAGAGAAGATCTACAAGATCCAGAAGGAGCTGGAGGAGAAGAGGAGGACGCGGCTCCAAAAGCAGGGCATGATGCCCGGCCAGCCCTGCCTTCCCACGTCTGGCCTCCCACAGGGTCCGCCTGGCATGGTCCAGCCCCCGGGGCCCCCAGGGCCGCCCGGACAGCCTCCCAGTAAGTAAACGATTTATTGGACAGACTTGTTGGGGGGAAAAAATGAGTAAAAACCTTGAAATAATTTCACACAGAAAAAAACAAAAATCTACTTTTTATGAGAGAAATTTTATTTAATGTGGGGGAAAATGTTGAGGTTCGAGGTGGGTGATTTGGACTTAAAGTTTTATGACGATATATTGTGGTTGCATTGTGATGATAAACACAATCAGAACTACTTATTTTTAGGTTGTGTGTCACAGCATTTATAGCGCCACCAGCACAAATGCTGCTCTTGAAAAAACATTCCTCTTTGCTTCCTTGGACCCCAGTTACATAAAAAAGTGTGATTTATATCAACTGCATTTTATCATATTTTCAAATTTATTGATATTTGAACAAACGGGAGAAAATTGTAAAGCTAACAATCTCGACAATGGACAATTTATGAGCGGTTTTAAACAAAATCAACCAGAATTTGTCAAGATAATGAGAAATCAAAATTATCAGAAGAAGTTTTATCACAATAAATGATAAACGGTACAATAAATGGCCACTTTGTCATTTTACAAAGTGAACATTTAATTGTTTTAAACTGGTGGCATAATTATTGTTCCTCCTATTAAAAATAAAAGCACCCAAAGTTTTAAATTATGTTTTGTTTCATGATTAATTTAATCAGACTTTCTCTTCTAAGCATCAATCTATGAATTTATATTCTATAGGATCGCAAATATACATTTTTTTTCTTTCCTTGCAGAAAACGTACACACTAAATATGTTGATTTATTTATTTATTTATTTATTAAGTCAAAGTGGTTTTTCTACTTCAGTAAAACACGATTTATTATGTTTTTCAAGAACATCCCTGCCAGAGATGCTTACATGTTTTCTGTTCTGAAGTTAAAAACGTTTTTGTGATGGATTTGTCCTCCTGTCAGATGGTCCTCATCCCGACCCGTCCATGATCAGACCTGCTGGTCCAAATCAGATGGTCAACAGGATGCAGAACCCACCAGGTGTGTTTGTTTACCCTGAAAACGTGAATCAGAACTCGTAGTAACATAGACTGACTTGGTGTCATTAAAAGCAAATGGTTTCTACTTATTTTAGGTGAAGATTCTGATCATAACATGATGGCATTTTAATAATGATTCTGATTCCCTTTTGATGCTTTTAGGAATGACTCAGTTTGCTCAGATGGGGATGCAGAATATGGGTCAGAGGTCAACGCCTCCTCTTCCTCACAACCCTCAAATGAACCAGGTTAGCCTGAGTGACTCATGATGTCACACGTCATTTTTGGGGATTGAAACCAAAGCACTTTGTGTTGCTTAAAGGAAATGAAGGATTTGATGCATTGCTTGTTGTTGTTTCCAGATGGGAATGGGAGCAACACGGATGGGTCAGCCCGGCGCCCCACAGCTTCAGACCCAGTACCTTCCTCCAGGCCAGTTTCCTGGCTCCAGTCCCGGTCTCGGTTCTGGTCCTGTTGGGATGAACCAGCCTGGAGTGCAGGCTGCGGTGCCTTCTGTAAGAGTCACAGCTTGGAGTTCATCTCCTAAACTTCTAAAGAGATCTGCAGTTTTCCTGTTTCACTGACTTCTATTTGGGAAAGTTTTAAAGGAGCAGCGTCGTGTAAAATTGAGCTTTACATCATGTTATAATGTTATTCCTTTATCAAAAACATATCTGGAGCGTTGAATTGATTCTTTCATGCATGTTTGAGAAATTCTCTAATCTCCATGGCAACCATTCAGCTGTGCAAAACGGCTGGGTGGATCTAGCAACAGGCAGCTCCCTCTCGGAGCTGCAGTTTCCGAGCTTCAGCCTCACAGAGCAGCCCCCTCCACCCACTCAGCTCCTTCAGACTAGCCAACAGCAATTAGCAAACACCTGGTGGAGCTGAGCATCAGCTGAGCTCCTTATACGAGCTGCTTCTGAGTGAAAAAACACCGTTGAAGGGGAGCGCTGTCATAAACTTCTTGAAGGCAGAGTTTCAGAAAAAGCAGGAGTTTTTAAAGAGGCAGAGGCCCAATTTCAAGGTGTTAAATGTCAAATTTCTTTGAAGTCACATTTGATATATGGAGCATTTCTATAGCAGCTGGAGGTAACATGGTTACTTGATTGTGCCAGAAAATGGCACAAGTATTAAGTACTTCCCCTTTAATACAGAAATATCCATTTTGTGCCTGATCCACTTCAGCAGAATCAGATGTCGACGCCTCCATCCATCCCCGCCAGCAGCCCGGCGGCGCAGTCCGCCCCCTCGGTCCCGTGCTCCGGGGGATCTTTTGGTCCCTCCAACAGCAACGGTCCAGGGCCGCTGCCCAACCTCCACCCGCCCTCCACTCAACCCTCCCCCTTCCCTCACTGCCCGCCCGTCCGGACAAACTCCCCGTCGCCAGCGCGCAGCTTGACGCCCCAGCCGCATCAGACGCCACCTACGCTGCCCCGCTCTCAGACGCCTCAGCCACAGACCCCGAACACACCGCAAGTGGCCACCCCGCAACACCCCCAACATCATCAGCAGCAGCAGCAGCAGCAACAACAACAACAAACGTCGCAAATGCTGCATCCCGCTCCATCAGCTCCAATGGCGAACTCCGAAAAACCCAACCAGTTTCCACAGCAAACGATTGGTGGCGTTGCATCTCCGGAGCCCCCGGCAGCTCAGATTCCCTCGGTCCCGAGCCTGAATGATCACGCGCCGCCGCTGCCGCACACCCCAGTGAGTTCACTCCCGACTTTTCCTGAATAATGTTGAATAGAAAAAGCTGCACTTGTGATCCTTAAACTGTTCCCTTCTTCTCAGCTCTCTGCTAAGACTTCCCTGACAGCCGAAGGACAAGTTTCGTCCCCGGCGTCAATTACAAGCAGCTCTGACCACAACTCCCAGCTCGCTCCTGCAGAGGGCCTCGCTCAGAGCCAGGACAACATCAAGGTAAAGGTGGAAAAGGAAGAAGAGGAGGAGGAGGAGGAGGAGGAGGATGATGCAGGGGGCGACACTGAGGGAAACAGCAAGGGGAAGATGTGCAAGGCTCACTCTGAGGTGAAGAAAGAAGAGAAACCAGAGGTAAGATTGTCCAAACTCATCTCTGTGCATAATAAATGTTTGACATCAATGAGGGGAAAACATTCCTGCGCTAATACTCCTAAACATCCCCGCAGATTGAGGACGAGAAGCCGCCAGGAGATGCGCGTAAAGCTGAGCCCATGGACACGTCGACGTCTTCTGGGTCGGCGGCGGGGGCGGCATCGAGCGGAGACAAGAAGCTGGAGGTGAAGAAGGAGCCCAAAGAGGAAGAGCAGGGATCAGGGTCACCAGCCACCAACAGCTCCTCAGCCAGCAGTCAGAGCAAGAAGAAAAGTAAGAGCAATGTCAAAGCGATGAGCGTTTAGAAAACACTAACTAGACTTTTTGAAGTTTTCCTCTTCCAGTTCCAAGTCTAAAAGTTTAAACGGTTTATCGTAACACCTCAATAAGGTTTGAGCAGGGCAGATTGTTGGCTCAGCTAATGTTAAAGTCCAAACTTTAAAGGTTTATATCTTCTTCTGCTAACTAGCTGCTAACGAATCCTTGCTAGCTAGCTTTTTTTTTTTTGCGTCTGTCTTGGGTTAGTTGGGTGACATTTGTCTTCGCCACTGGCTCACTTCTGTTGATATGTGCATTCTGGGTAAAAAAAAAAGAAAAAAAAAAAGCTTAGCACTACTATATAAAATATCCAGTTTTCCTTTGTACATGTCTGTCATGGTACAGGCCTTAAATTTAATTCATGGAGGTCTTAAAAAGTCTTAAATTTCGAGTTGAGCGTAGAAACACTCGGGTAGTGAGGAGATTTTCAGTCAGTCATCGTTCATCGTATCATTTCACACTAAACCCATCTGAGTTTTTGTTTCAGAGACTTTAATAAGTCAGATTACTATGACTGTCTTAGGTACTCTGAAGCATTTTTTAATGTACATTCTGAATTTTATCACATTTATTCCAAAGACATTATTACAGGTACCAACAGTTGTTTTCTAAAGTGGGACTTCCTCCCCCCCCCATCAGAATAAATCTGCTTAATAGGATGGAGGAATTTAAAAATGGACTTAATTATTATTATTTTTTTTTTTTAAACACATATTTACATTGTAGCCCTGGTTCAGTATTTTCTATTCTGTACATATTGAGGGTGTAAATAAAAGACTCAGTTTGTATTTTCCCTACTAGTCGACCCTGCAGCTCTTTGACCAGCAGAGATCTCGGTTCAGGCGGTTCTGATATCCATCTTGTTTCTCCCCACACCTTCCCCTCCAGTCTTTAAGCCGGAGGAGCTGCGCCAGGCCTTGATGCCGACCTTGGAGGCATTATACCGCCAGGACCCTGAGTCCCTTCCCTTCCGCCAGCCGGTGGACCCCCCGTTACTGGGAATACCCGTACGTATTCGAACTAGTAACAAAACTAACCTGGTAAGGGACTGCACTGGCTGCCATTTTGCTTCAACTCCATCCAAGTATACCCTTTTTTTTTTTTGTTGGGGTCTTCTTTTTTTTTTTTTTTTTTTTTTTGTGGGTACATTTTTTCCCTCTCTCACAGTTACTATAGTTTTTACAATCATTGTTTTTTTTTTTTTTTTAGTCTTTTTGCTGCTGGTTTTTGTTTTGCTTTTTTTTTAATTGCATGCTGAAAGCGTAGAAAATGATATTTTGGCTTGTGTGTGTGTGTGTTTGTTGTGTTAAGCTTGTAAATCAAAGCACTGGCTCTTATGAACAATTATTACATTACAAGAACATTACAGTTTTGCCTTCCATTGATTCTAAATAGCCTTTATATTAGTGGATCACTGCACACTTTATTTTAATAAACATAAAGTGGAATTAATTTAAAAAAATGTGCTGTTCATGAGCCAGATGCTTTTATTTATCGACTTCATTTTTTGCACCTTTTTTTAATTCATTTATTTCATCCTCATAAACCATTGCTAGCTTTCTAACGCATTTCCTCACCAGCAGCAGTTTAACAGTGTTCAGGTTGGAGGCGCTGGGGGGGGGGATGAGGGGAGCCACACAGGCTCTGCTGCCTTCACTGCATCTCAACTGAAGGCGACAGTATTTCACCAAGACTGGAAATATCTAAAATAGACCAAAGTAGCAGATCAGCAAGACCACATCTCCCACGTCCTCCAAAGTCAAGTGATGCAATAGTATTCATTTCCTTTGACATTTTTCACATTTTGTAGCATTACAACCGCAAACGTCAATGGATTTTGTTGGTAGGGCTTAAATGTGGGAATAAAATATACATGATTTTCAGTTTTATTTGTATTAATACCTTACATGACCAGAATTTAATCTCAGTGTAATTCAGACCAAGGTGCACAGCAGCAAAGTTTTAGCTTAAGATGTAAAGCAGCATTTTAAGCTTTGCATGTGTATCAAACTAACAACTAATCATTGAGAAGCTTCACAAACGGTACAAGTTGACTGCAAGCTTACCCCCAAGTCACGACCATCGACCTACGTTAGGTCAGCCAAGGATATTATAGAACATGTAAATAATAATGTCAAAATTAAATTGGTTGTAGTCTTTAAATTACATATATAATTTGAGAGGAAGTTGGTTTTTTAGCATTAGCTCCTTATTAATACCATGTTGCTGTAGCGCTTTAGCAGTAGCTTCCACTAAATACCATGTTATTAGGTTATTAGGTATTTTACCATGTAAGTATTTACTGGAAGCTAATGCTAAATTGCATTAACTTCCACTAAATACTATGTTGGTATTGCAACTTAGCATTAACTTCCTGGTATAGCCTTTTAGTATTAGCTTCCACTAAATACCATGCTCGTATGGCGGTTTAGCATTAGCATTAGCTTTTGCTAAATACCATGTTGGTGTAGCGTGTTAGCGTTAGCGGAACTAATGTTTATGATCACAACTAACGTTTTAGCTATCTCTGCTCACCACTCTGCAATGTAGTCACTTGGGAGTCGAATGCAAAGAAACGCATGGTTACAGTTCATGCTTAATTATGAAAACGATGCATCGCTTTCAGTCCACTCGCCTGTCCTGCACCACTGTGTGTTGGTCCACCACATAAAATCCCAATAAAATTCACTGAAGTTTGTGGTTGTACGAATATTGCCGCACAAAATGTTTTGTTTTGAAAATAATTAGAAATATCTCGATTTATTTAGTTTATTTTTCTGCCCAAACAACTGGAGTGTGGCTCTGCAGGCTGTCTTGCTAATATGCATCACTTGTTTGTTTGTGTGAGTGGCTCCATTCAGATACGAGGGTCTTTTCATATCTTGTTGCCATAGTGACACTGAGATGGACCCTGCTCTTTGAAACTCACACCTATTAGTCTTTTTTTTTTTTTTTCCTTCGTTGTTGGAGCGCCTAAAAAGCCTATTCTTCTGCTCACCCTCCTCTTCGCTTCTCTGTCGAACGGCGCTGCGTTTTCAGGAGAAGCGAACTGGAAAACGGCTCGGCGAACCCTCCAGCCGCCGACGCGTTTGCTTCACCTCAACACTGTTGTCCTCAGCGCTGTCACCTCATCACCACTCATGCTGCTGGCACTGTGGCTTAAAAGCGTAGATCCGTCCTGCCTGTTGCTCTTTCTTTTCATGGCTTTGCACCCTGGTCAGTTGCTTATCATGGAGGTTTTGTTCAGCCGTGTTTCTAAATCAGTAGCTCGGCGCCAATTGGTAGCGATTTGACCGATGACAGGCTTGTAAAATCCACCTGCGTCTTTGGGTAGATTTTACCAGCAGCTGATCGGTCTTCTGGCTGATGGTGCGGGTAGATTAGAAGTGTTGGGTGCAAAGCAGAGAGCTGGAGGGCAGAAGTTGTCATGTCTCTCTGTTTGCACATGAACCTTCTTCTTTGCAGCGCTCAACAACATTGTCCCCCTGCACCCTCTTCTCTCCCTACTCTGGTCCTGTCGGCCGCCTGCAATGCCTCTCCTCGACGTCGACGACGACTCTGCTCGTCCTCCTCCGTCTCCCAACTTACGAATCAACCGCCTGGCTCCTCTTTCCCCATCTTCTTCCTTTTCCCCCTCCCTTTGTTTATTTTATTTTTATTTTCCTCAACTCTTCAACCTGACCTCTAACGTGGGCGACCATCCCAATCCAGGACTACTTCGACATCGTCAAGAACCCCATGGACCTCTCGACCATTAAGCGCAAGTTGGACACAGGGCAGTACGAGGAGCCGTGGCAGTACATTGAGGACATCTGGCTGATGTTCAACAACGCCTGGCTGTACAACCGAAAGACGTCGCGGGTCTACAAGTACTGCTCCAAGCTGGCCGAGGTGTTTGAGTCGGAGATCGACCCCGTTATGCAGGAGCTGGGCTACTGCTGTGGGAGGAAGGTAAATCAGATATGTATTACCTGGTGTGTGGGTTCAGGAAAACAAGGGTTTACCTGGTAGAGTGGAAAGTATGGGGCTCTAAACATGCCGTAATGAGGGGATCAAGATGCTGTGATCTACGTTAAATTTACTGATGATGTTCAAAGCTCTTATCATATCACCACCTTCATAAAATAATGGCCAAAGTCATTTTTGTTCCAAAAGTGATTTTGGCAAAAAAATAAAAAATAAATATATATATATATATATATATATATATCACTGTCTTTTTCTTTACAAAAAATGTGTCAAGCCAAACAACAACAAAAAAAAAATCACTTTAAGTCGGGCCCTTAATTTACACTATGTTCTCAGGTCTGTTTATGAAACATATTTCAGTAACTTTAAACATTGGAAATTTCTGAACTTGAAGCTGATGAGATGGACAGGTGTGATTTTTTTTTTTTTTTTTTGAGGAAAGAATGTCTTTGTGTCCATTTTCTAACATTTCTCTTTTTGTTTTCTTTGTCTTTTACAGTACGAGTTTTCTCCCCAAACTCTTTGCTGCTACGGAAAACAATTATGCACCATCCAACGCGATGCTTCTTATTTTAGTTACCAGAACAGGTAAGACCCTTTTCAGGATAAACCTGCTTTCAGAACATGTATTTTATTTTATTTATTTATTTTTGAGAGAAACAAAAAAATGAAGCTGCTGGGATCATCTAGTCTGTTGCGTTTTGTTTTCCCACGTTAAATAAGTTTCCTGCAGCGAAGCATCAGTCAGTGCAATCACAGAAGAGATTGATTTGTGGCTTCAAATATTTACCGTGGCACCATCACCATCTTCATAGTTCACTGTTTTTTTTTGTTTTTTAAATTTTCATGTCATTCATAAAGTGGGCTCCCTTCTCCTTTCCGGTAGATTATTAGTGGCTTCGTTGCCGCTGGCTAAAACCGTAACGCCCGAGGGCTTGCGTGTTTTCTGCCCGGGAGCCGGGTGCGTTTGTTTTCTCCACCAGAAGGAAGGGCGTCTGCTTTATGAATGAGCAGAAAGGATGATGGCTCGCTGTTGCTTTATCTTTTTCCTCATTCACCTTTTCATATTTGGAGCCTCGTATCCTCGCTGCTCTGCTGCCCCGCGGCTCCCAGTGCTCTCTCATGTTGCTGTAATGTTGTTGTTGTTGTTGTTGTTGTTTACCACTGGATGTCTGATGCTAATCTTTGCTTTGCCTTGGCTCTCTGTCCTCTGTTGGTTGTTTTTTTTTCCACCTCCCGTTCGCCCCCCTTCCCCTCTGTCTCTCCATCTTTGTCTTTGTGTCCAACCTGTAACAACTTATTTTCCGTTTTTTTTTTTTTTCTTTATAATTCATTTTGACCTTTCCCCCATCTCCATCCTCTCCCCCCTCCTTCCTGTTTTATTTTTCTTTCTTTTACGCTTGTGATGTCTGCATTGGCCTGCTTTTGGTGTGACCAATCATCCACTCCAAAATTAATGCGCAATCTCAAAACCCGCCCGCCCACACAAAAACCGCGCATCATGATTGGCCACTACCTACCTGGCGACGACCTACCTTGCCCTCCTTGCCTCCACCTGTGTGCGCGCTCCCCCGGCCTGCCCTGCCCCGCCCTGCCCTGCCCTGATTGGTGGCTGCTTCTTCGCTCCTTCTCTGTGATTGGCTGTGCTGATGACGAACGGTGTAGTTCACCAAAATATGGGCTTCTTGCTGACAGGTACCACTTCTGTGAGAAGTGTTTCAACGAAATCCAAGGCGACAGCGTTTCCCTGGGGGATGACCCCTCCCAGCCTCAGACGTGAGTACCGTCACACTCTTAAACACACAAAACGTAGCGGCTGACCCAACTGAAACCGACTGACTACGTCGGCAGATTTGATTACATACGAGTGATAATGGGCCAGAAGTACAGAGCTGTCTGTAGGTTTTTACTGTGTGAGCAGATTTTTCAAAGTCCTACTTAACTCTACTAAAGGAGTCGCAGTCCGTCGTCTTTAATAAATAGAAATGTAGGGCAGCGGCTAACAATCGTTGTAGCAATCGATTATTCTGATGATTAATCGGATATTTTCACATCCTGCAGATTTTTTATTTAGCCACCCAAGCATTTTTACACAATATTAGAAATGTATTAAAATATGCAATTAATCAAATCAAATCTTTTTCTTTCTTTTTTTTTTACATAAAAATTATAATTTAATGCCTACAATGCAATAACATAGCATTCTGATTATTCGTCACAAAATCTTCAGCTAAAAAAATATACTGTTCTAATCTGTTCATTATGTTTTTAATTAATAATTTGATGGGGAAAGGTGCTCAATAGGAGTTTTTTTTTCTTTCTTTTTTTTTTTTTTTTTTTTTAAAAATTATTAAAAAAAAATT